CATTTTTTCAATAGTTCTTTAACATTCCTATAACATCTCTGCAACATTTCTGTAAGTTTTTGTAACATCTTCGCAACATTCCGAAACAATTATATTACATACTACAATTTCTCATGTTGTAACCTTTATCTGTAACTTTTATAATTTTGTTTAGTTGCTAATATTTCTGTAATATTATATTATATACTGTAATAAATATTTTTACTCATAGAAAAATCCTTTTTAATATTTCTGTAACTTTTCTGCAACATTCCTGTAAGTTTCTGTAACATTTGTGTTATATCGAGTAACAAAATTTTGTACCTTACACACTATTCTCTGTAGCATGTAACATTCTCTGTAACGTCTAAATCATATACTCGTACTATATCAAAATTTTGTAGTCACAGAAATTTGTTTCAATAAAATTTCTCACTAAATGAGCTGTAAAAGCTGCAAGTCTCCCAAACGGTAAAGCAGGTCATTTGGTTGAGTCGAGTCCCGTATATACGGAACGTACTTCCTGGAGAACTTCCTGACAGAGGTCCAAGAATCTCACACTTTTCTTCGCCTACCATCATCCTATCGAAAGGATTTCTGTCTCGACTATATTTGAAGTGTTCTTATACCACAAGAAACACTGTATACTGACAAACAACTATGCTTTCTGCGGAATTCGAAGCCGACTCCAAGGCTTTATGAGCCTGCTTCCCTACCACGACAAGAGGACGGCGCACGCAGTCATGTGTTATATGAATTTAGTAATTTATTTCCCATATCGAGATTTTCTTATTCAGGTTTTTATTAAGAAAGATGTAACGTAATAAGATATTTTTAAATTGAGATTTCTAAAATAATAAAATAAGTTGCAACTATTAAAATCGTTTTCATTTTTAAATAAATACTGCTTTTTAGAACAGAAAGCAAGATAGCACAAACATATTCCTTTATGTTGGAGGAAGAAGCTTAATTTAATTCGCAGGACATTTTTCCATGTTTTCGGTAACAGCATTTTATTAACTAAGAATTTAAAAAATTTCAAATAGTAATGTTTTCTTATTCAAAGAAATTGTGATTTTAAAAACATTGCTTATGGAATATTTGAATTTGTAATCTTCTATATATTTTATGTATATGAGGCATAAATCAATGGTGCTTCGATAAGAAAAACAAAAGTATCCTGAATGTTTAGCTATTCTGAAATGAATATGTTTACGTTTAAAATTCTTGTATAAAGTTCTGTTTCAGGCTTACCAGACGTCCCGCTTTGACCGGAACTGTCTCGATTTGGTAATGTGGCCCGTGTCAGTTGCTTGCCAGTCCCGGCTTGTTTTTTCCCAGTTATTTGGTAAAATTTTAAATGTGGCGAATATACACTATGAATATAAATACAATCCTAGAAGAAATTACAACATTTCATAGCAGATGTCTACCTTACAATGAGCTATGGTAAAAAGTTTTGCTGGAGCAGAATCTTTTATTTGGATAATAACAGTGAATTAACATGATCTGAAATTGAAACTTCTGTTGAAAAACTAATGAAACTGTCGCAAATAATACAATAATCACGGATCATATTTTTGGTGAAGTAGTGACTGCAAAAGCGTTTTGGTCATTTAATTATGAAATTTAGAAAAATAAAAATTTTGAAGAAAAATGGATACAACTTTTCAGTCATTTGAAAGGAAAACTCATCTCATGGAACGGTCTTGTTCAAATAATACAATACATTTTCAACGTAACAGGCGCATCGACACCAGTCGATAGGGCATTTTCAATATCTTTTATATCCTTAAATTTCTTTTATATGGTCTAAAGAAATATGTAGAATGGCTGTAATAACTGTAAAATCTTTACTAAGCTGCTAAATTAATAGTGAATCCAACTGCAGCGATTGTTTCAATGTCATTAAAAACAATAAAGAATTTTTCAAGAAAATTGCCACTAGTGGTAAATACTCTTTTCTGTTTTTTTCAATGGCAGATAGTTACAGTGTAACACAGTCCATTAATCTATAGTGATAAATACTAATAATATTTTAATAATAAGGTATGTTCAGTTGAGTTTCTTTTATCTCTTTGTTTTTTGTTTTTGTTTTTACTTGCTAAATTCTTTATTTAGCCTTTTCCAAATATAAATACTTATTCTAGAATAGAAGGTTTTATTTTCTACCTTGAATATTTTCTCAAAATTGTCTTGGTTTGAGAAAACGTAGTATGATAACCCTTAGTATAAAATAATACAGCACTGATGTTTAATGTAAAGCGATACATATTTAGTAACCCTATTACATATTTAGTAACCCTATTATATATTGAGTAACCCTAAAATTATTACGATATATTTAGAAATCTTATGAAATTTTCTGTTTAAAGTATAAAAGATAAAACAGTAGCTGCACTTTGAGACGCAATTATTAATATTATTTAAAACCTCTATTAATGGCTGTTAGTCTTAGTTTTCTCAGTCAAAATGTATTAGTACATTTCTGTTTCAAACGGAGGAGATCGAATTGTTCGAAATTAAGTCCTTGCAACATCTTTATATCCTCATTTTTTTAAACGCATTGTTTAGTAAAATTATACACATATCATCTACTGAAAGCTCAAGTTATTTTCTTTGCCTCTGTAGCACTGTTCTTATAACAGAATGAGTACACTCTTTCTCTACAAAGTGAGATAAGTTTCGCATACAATAACTATCAATAGATGGAACAATTTAATCATCATCAGCCTTTCAGAGAATGCTTCAATATAAATATATTAATTTTAAGTCTCTCATAGGAAATAATGCAATTTTTAATTTTGTAAAATATTTTGTGTGCATGAATAAGAAAAGAAAAATTGATAAATTGTACGTTGTTTCGTAGTCATTTAATTAGCCAAAAATAAGATTATTTAAAAAAATTTTTAATAAAGCTTACAGATATACATTTATATTACAATACATAATACATATTTACATAAATACATATGTACACTTTTTACATGCCCTTTTTTTCCCGTATAAAATTATTAAAAGCGCACCTACCACAGTAAGACCTTTACAAAAGCATTTATTTTTATACATAGATAGCTGTATTATGATTTACTATAGTCAAACATAATTAAAATCCTGATTTGTCCTTCTTTTTTCCTCTACAAAGTTAATATTCTCTGATTCTCTAAAGAAATCATTCACAAAATCATCCCTTTCCATGTGAAGATAGTTAAAGTAAAGTTCATCATAATTAAAAGGATTAAAACCGCAGCTAACTAAAATTCATCTAATAGAAAAAGTTGGTATAATAAAAAATGACGAATAAAATACAATTTAAATAACGAAAGCCTCCAGCACAGTTATCTCCAGTTTTTAATGAGTTTTTTTCATTATTTAAGTTTCAAAATGCGATACATTGAACTTAAAATACATAGAAAGGGAGGGATTTTACGCACATACATTAAAAAAAATAAATTTTGAAACAAAAGTCTTTCAGATGACAACACTCAACTATCTATATTTACTAGCGTATTACGTCGATTAAAAGTTTACTTCAGAAAGTCGCGTAGACATTTCAAATATCCGCGTTACTATATTTTCACAGAAAGGCTGTCATTTTGATGTGCAAATGCTTTTCAATAAAGCAATCTAATACTGGTAGCATTTCCTAAAAATTTTTAATCCAATTTTAAAATATGCTCTTTCAGCAATTAGAATCTTATACTTGTTCCTCTGCTAAGAGAGCATTGGTACTATTTTCTGCATATCTCTTGTTAAGAAAACAAGCCAAAACAAACGTTTTAGTCCAATTAAAACATAATAAAATGTATTAATTATATGGTAATAAATTCAGACATATTAGCATACTAAAAATAAATATGCAATAACGTACGTTTTCTAATTAACAAAAAATCTCTAAACTATAATTCATAGAAAACATTGAGACCAAGAAAAATCACATATCACAGAGCTGCAACATATATAATGTATTAACATTGCTACGATAAATTAAATAAAAATTTAAAGACTGACTAAAGGGCAAAATCTCGTTTACATATGGAATTAATTTATACTGGAACTGAAATAATTGGTTTATCTATTATATAAAATATATTAATAGTAAATACATATTTTTTAAACTTATTTTCTGAGTTTATTCATTTTGGTTACATAAATGTATTACAATACAGAAAAACTGCAAAAATAGTTATAAGCTGAAAGAGAATCAGAATGTCTCATATTAAATGCTTAAAATAAAACGTGTATATGTGGGCACACAGTTTCATACCTTGGAATGGGTTCCTAATATTAATACAAAATTTATTTTTAGTTCATATACATTTCCATGCATAACAGAAAGTATTTTAATGAAACACGCTTTTAATAATTTTGGAGTTAAAACAGCTCACATAGAAAAACCACAATTCATGGAGTTACTACTACAGAATCCCTGTAGCAATCTCTGGCTATTTATCGTCTTTATCGTTCTTGAGTTTGAACTTATGTATTACCAAAATATGAAATCATTTTCGCTCCTTTGGCATACATAAAGTATTATAAAATTTTGCGTACCGCGAAGAATAGTGCATTCAACATATATAAACAAGGCAATACTATTCAACATAATGTTTTTAAGCAGTGTTGTTTTGCTTCTGGAGGCTGCTTACGTAGGAAATATAAGTACCTGCAAAAGCAATTATCGGGTATACTGAGGTAGAACAATCTGTCTTCGTGTCTGATTAAATAAACTACCAAGATATTCAGTATTTTCTGGCAAATATGACGGAATCTCAGTCGGTCATCCTCCCGAACCCAATGATTATTCAACCAACTCATTGACGACAATGTTTCCTATCGCGATCATAGGAGAACAACTGAAATTACACCGCAAGGAAGGAAGAGATAACACGCAATTCAAATTCAGAACCGCATTTCGAGCCGCCATTTCATCCTAAAAATCAGACATCATTAACCGCATGCAATTATTGGCGGCTCGAACTATCATGTGAAGTTAAGTTATTAAACTTTTAACTTATGGTGAATGACAGCGCTCAAAACATTTCGCATACTTTAAATATCTGGTTAAAGAGGCTTAATTTGTGCATGAAAGAACATAATCAAGTATTAGAAAAGTAAACAAATAAGATTATTTAGATTTACACCAAAATATGATATTTGAAGACAAGAACTCATCACGAAAATAAAATCTTCCGCCCTTACCTCCCTTTTTTTTTTCTTTTTCTTTTTTTTTTTTTTTTTCTTTTCTTTTGTAAAGGCTGAAATGCTACTTAGTTGCTCTTTGAAGATTTCGTGCAAGTTTCGGAAAAGTATTAAGAAAGAAATTAAACGTCTAATAGTAAAGGTATATCACTCAGTCTTCTGTTGGAATCTATGTCTTCATCGTTTAAATCAGAGCTTTTGCGAGGCATAGCATACCTCAGTTTTTCCCAAAACCATCGCTCACCCCATACAAGATATGTTCGTTTAGAAATTACATGTCGTAGATCAGGCTCTACACCGTCAAAGGATGTTGATTTGTCCACCAATATAACAATCACCTTATTCATTTTGTCTTCGGAAACTTTGACTACAGCTGCTCGCAATTCCATTTTGAACCATGGACTCGAGATGAAGGTATCGGAAAGAACGATGATTGTCCTCTTGCTGTTCTGCACAGAGTGGATGATGTTGTCGGTGATGAAACGACCAGGAAGCCAATTTCTCTCATGGATACAAAGTCGAAAGAAGGGCTCTTTCTGTTCCAGCTCTTCTAGAAGAGTCATTACGATGCTGCGATCGCTGCTACTGTACGCTATAAAAGCATCGAATAGTTTATCTTCACAATCGCATTCTTCGAAACAGATATGAAACACTTGATCGCAGTGAATATAAAGAAATGACAAAATTAATTGTCTTTGCTTATAGTAAATAAGCACCAAAGTTAGAAGAACGGTAAAAAATACACCCAAAGCAATAGTTGTTAGACCCTTATTACCTCCATCTGCTTGTTCATCAGCGCAGAGTAAAGCGTCTGGAACTTCGTATAAAGGTAACGAGGAATTTGTTCCATTACTATTTATTTCGCAAATGATCTTATCCAAATCTTTTATAAATGCAGTATTGGCAATCAAAAATTCTTTCAAAACTTTACTCTTACACGTGCATTGTTTATCATTTCCACCAAACAATAACTGGAAATCACTCTGGTTCGCTATATAATCCATCAAATGTTTCGGTAAAGTTTTTAATTTGTTATCTTTTATCGACAAAAACCGAAGTTTCTCAGGAACTTCCCAATTGGTTAAATCTTCTAACTCATTAAAATCTACGTACAGTTCCGTTAAGTTATGCCAGATTTTATTATTCAGTGACTTCATAGATCGCAAGTGGTTATAATTGAAATAAAGGACTGTGGTCTGATCAGGAGCACTTTGGGGAACCTCACTTAGGTTGGTGCCCGTGCAGTTGACAAAAAATAGTTTATCTCTAGCACGAAAACCACAAGTGCATGGCTGGGGACAATCAGTCTCAAAAAAGCAACTAAATACGTCTTCTGACAAGGAAAGTACCGTGCTGTTTTGCAAAGAAAGTGGTTTGTTGCAAACAAGCTCATTTTCATTTATGAAAGTTAACAAGGATGGAATTCGTCTACCAGGCTTCCTTTTCAAATAAAAGTAAAAGGGGTATAAATAGCAATCGCATTTCAAAGGATTAAAAGCTAAGTCTAAGAAGTTCTTCGAGAATCCATTAAAAAAACAACCAGCCATTGTTCTGTCCGTTTCAGCTCTCTTTTCATCAGCCAGCGTAGACCGTAGATCTATATCAGAAATTTGGTTATGTCTGAATGAAAATGTGATAGTTTGTTTCACGTTTAGAATGCAAGGCGGTGCGTGGAAGCTGTTTATTTCATTATAATCCATGTTGAACTTCTCTAGAAAAACAAGGTTTCGCCAATCTATTTTGATTTCTTTGATAAAATTATGAGATAACCAAATGTTTCTTAGCCTAACTTCTGATTTTATTCCCAGTTCAACATATTTAATTTTATTGTAGCTCAAATCGAATTTTTCTAAATCATTCATATTTGCAATTATATTATCCTTCAGTATTTCTAGTTTATTTCCACTCACATTTAGCAAATGAATATTTGGACTTCCGACGAATAAATCTGCATTTAATAATTTTAGATTGTTTCGAGAGATATTTAACCCTCGTAGATTAGATTTATTCCAAAATGTATCATTGTATACTTCAGAAATTTTGTTGGAACCTAAATCGACGTATTCTAAAAACTTTTGCCTTCGAAACAGATCACTAGGTAATACTTCAATTTTATTGCTTCCAAATACAACATACAGTAAATTCATATTATTTAAAAATAGGTCCTTGTCTATGGCTTGAATATTACAGTTGGAGCAAAGAATGTTTTCTAAACTATTTAAACTATGAAAAAGAGTTTCTGGCAGATGTTTTATATTATTAAAACTTAAATCAATAGATTTTAGGCGCGGGCTGAATTGAAACAAACTGTTATTAATGGAATTCAATTCGTTATTTGATAGATTAAACGTCTCTAGATTGGGAAATCCTTTTAGAGCATCTTTTGAAATGTTACCTATTGAATTAAACGATAAGTCGAGAATTTTCAAAGCATGCAGCGTGCCAAAAAGGGTTTCAGTAATAGAGTTTAATTTATTTTGTGATAAATCTAACTCCTTTAAGTTATGGAAGTTAATGAATACATTTTCCGGCAAGAGCTGAATACTGTTATTGCGTAAATTTAAAATACGAATCAGGTTAGTAATATTATTAGTTTTTGATGACAAGTCGACAGCCGTGTTGTCACATATTGTCATTCTCTGAAGCTGGGGATATTGCACCAAGATGTCAAAAATTGAAGGCACATAAGAAGTGTTCATTATTCTTAATACATCTACGTTATATTCATTTAGAAATTCCGGTGACCGATAGAGGCATTTTTTGTGACTTTCACAATATTCTTCGAGAAACGATGGCTCTATTTTTATAAGGTTTCTCCATTTTTTATCACAGCTATAAAATACAGAATCAGGTGTACTATTAAAATTCAGCAAGGATTTAAAAATATCAAAAGTCGTAGATTCATTAAGAAGAGAGCTATAATTACCATAAAGCTGCAGAATATAGAAGATGTTAGTATGAGAAAAACTGCTTTCACATTGCAGGGTATAATTTATGTTATCAATGTCAAAAGAACACGAAAATTCCTTTGACTGTTTAATGATTTGGTCACAATCTAATTCCATTGACACTTCTTTGCTTTTCATCAGAAATACAAACAAGATCAAGACATTAATAATGTATAGCATCCTCCAATGAGAACATAATTCAGAACCGTTCATGCTTGGAAGCCCTGAAAAATAGAATTAATGATTAATTTTATCATGAATTAATAAAAAAATAGAATTAATAATTAATTTTATCATGAATTAATAAAAAAAAATAGAATTAATGATTAATTTTATCATGAAATTTATATATTATTATCACTTTCAAAGAAAAAATAACTGCTTTAGATGCTGTTTTAGATTTTTCTCCTGTATCGGTAGCAGGGATTCCTAACCCGTTTTTTTTTTTTTTTGCATCGACTTCTTTTAAAAGAAAAGCTTTCTTCGTCGACCCTCTTACAGTTTTCTCTATAGTCTACAGCCTACAACTTAATCATAATGAAAATGACTTCACACAGATAATTAAAAATTATTATTAGATTAAGGACATAAATAAAAGTTTTGAAAAACGGTTTATTGGATATGTATTTTATTATTTTATGTATTATTATCATTTTTAATAATATAAATATAAACAAACTTTCAGAAACAAAAAATTACAGATTCTAAATGCACAAAAAATCGATTTAAATTGATGTGATGGCTTCGCTTGATGTATTGATACAATTTTTTTAATATATGACATAAAAGTTCTTAATTTAATTCTTAGATCAGCTCGCTCAAAAATATTTAACCTACTTATTGTTTTCCGTAGACTAAAGTCTGCTTCACTAGGTAAGAAGAGGGAAAATTAATAATGTTAGTTTGTAATTATGAGATAATCAAATGTTCTAAATACTACTTTGAGAATAGTACTTCTGTAGTACTTTGAGAAAAATATTACAGAGTTTTTAAATGCATTAAATTTTTTAAATGTACTTTTCCCGTATATTTATTTTATATTCTTTCTTCCTTACTGAATGATATAGGTTTATATCGCTAAACAATTAATTATTCATTTTATTAATATTTTTGTAATTAAATGGGAACATGAACAAACCGATCAATTATTCTATCGACTATCGACCCTTAGTCGACACCTTTAAAATTTTATCGACCTCTAAGGAGCCAATATCAACCCCACTGGGGGCCGCTGATTTAACTTTTCATGACCACAGATCGGAAAAACTAATGTACTAATAATATACCATGGTGAAAGTTTAATTATTACATAATATTGTAGGCGATGTAGCGATGAAGGCACAGGAATGTAAGTATAAATTTACTTTATCAGCCATAAACTGGATGTAAGGACAACAAAAATTTGAAATACATAAAAAAAATAAATTGTGATGAATTTTAGTGCGATAGGTAATATCCTTTCCTAATACGCAGTAACTTCACAATGAAATATTTATTAGCTCTGGAATAATATTGATGACGATTTATTTTATCCAGTTTTGCTTCGTCACTCACAGTAGAGCACACCGCTGTGTAGTAAAAAATCTTTATACGCATGGAAATGAAGCAACTAACGACGTATTGCCCTAAAAGAATGACTTGGAAATACTTCGGAACATCATTAACTTCTTTTTAATTTTTTGTTCTTAATTTCATTTATATAATTTCTGTTGCTGTCATAGTAAGCATCTTAGTTCGTTTCAGTGTTTCGATATTTCCAAAAGTTAAAAAGATGTACGAATGTTTTTGTTAATTGCACTAAAATTTTGAAACCTCAGTTAAATTTCCTTTTCAATTAGTTTCTTAATCAATTTTGGATCGCTGCTTTAGCAAAAGAATAGGAAGTTGAAATTGCAAGTAGCCAGATATGTAAATACTCTGCTTAGTTAAAAATTTTTAAAGGTGCATCTTAAAGACCTAAGAATAATAGGCTAAATTTGATGAAGTTTTATTGCTTTTAAATATTAGGCTTTTGCCTTCTATAAATCTCCGAGTAAAAGCATATTTTTGAACGAAATGTTTCGGACAAATGTCTATCCGAAAACAGGTATATTGCCTTTGTGATAGCTGCCAGATTTTAATCTAGAGTTGTCTTTCAGTTTTCTATTGAATTTTCGTTTGAATGGTTTCGGAGACGTAAGTTCGGAAAATTTAATTATGGCATTTTGGCAATGCGGATTCTTTATGAATAACAGCGTAAGTATAGCTGTATAGTCGTAAGTATCAAAGTTAGGAAATATTGTGTGAGGACATGCATACATATTCATTGAGTATTGGTATAAGAGGTTCTTCAAATTACCAAAAATACTTCTTATAAGCCAATAAAATATTTAAGTAATCCTGAAAATTTTCAACTTCATTTTTTTTAATATTTGAACATGTTATAGTAATTTAACCGACAAAGTTTATCGATGGCAGATATCTTTTACCTAATCCTTTTACTCACCAAACTCAGGACTGGATAAATGGGAAGTATCTGTTTCTTCATATAGTCAGTTAATATCGCAGTTTACAATATTTCATTGCTGCTATCAGATTATCGTCACTGACAGTACGCTGAACGACAGATGTCACAACCGATATCTCTTCCGCATTTGTCGGACTTCCGTTTATCTTCCGATTCTTCGTCCTGTGAATTATTTATACGGCGTATTTTAAGAAATCTTTCTTAATAAATATTTTAAATTAAGGCTTAATGAAGTCTTAATTTTACCTGCTTAACGAGACATAATTTACAAGATTTTATGCAATTTCCGTCTCTGTTTAATGTACTGCTTAGTGGTATTTTTTATAACTCAGTTCCAAAAATATGTCGGTCTCTAACATTACATTTTTAACTGAGTTTTGTTGGATTGCTGCAAATTATAAATGCATCCAAAGTGTATAATTTGTTGATAAATATATATTAAAGTAGACTGTAGGAAAACTATACATTCTATAACAGAAAAAAAAAATACCGGTTTTAAAACCTTAAACTCTTTCTAAAATTCAGTTACTGCTATAATTTAAATATATTATTTATATATAATTTCAATAGGATATCATATAACGCACTTAGTGTCCTGAATATTCAGGTATTCTTAAGATTTCAAATCTTAATCCTCGAAAACATAAATTCAGTTACGGACATTCATTGGAATACACAGTTTGATAGATGAAATAGAATAGAAGTGGATGAAAGTTAAACGGTTTTAGTAAATATGGCGCAGTACCCAGTACTGAAAACCTGAATTGATTCAGATTTCCGCCTCTACTCCTTAAACGCCCAAATTTCAGCAGTAGATAGGGGAACCTAGGAAATAGCGAATTCCAGTTCCAAATAGGATATTAATCACTTAATTGAAGTTCTATGACTACCTAAAATGATCGTTCAATTAGCGATGTTTAATCAGAGGCAGAACATTTTCTTCATAACGATTACGCACACTGTAAATGGCTTATTTATTACCATCACCTAATAAATTTTATGCAAATCAAATGATCTCATAGTGTTGTCGCTAAAGGTAACAGCGTAAGATGAGAGTTGATCCATCTGTCAGAACTGTTGTTCGGAAATGTGAAGAGAGGTTGGAAACACGATAATAGGCAATAATCATATAGGTAGATACAGTCGCAGGAGAAACGCGACGCGCATGAGGGCGCTGAACGTCGAGAGAAAGCCTAGCCGGGAAGAAGAAAGCGTTATTTGTATGCATGAAGTATAAATCGCTACTCGAAGAGCGAAATTTGTGGTCATCATATCTGCATGTTTTTCTGGGAATTGGGGGGGGGGGTGCAACGTTTAAAACACTGGAGCAGTCTCTCCTAATTTCATTCTTAAGTATTCTTAAACTTTGCAGTAATATATGTTTAAAATTTTTTTAGTTTCATTTATTTAACAGATTCCTCCTTCTACATTGTACCCCAAAAAGACCCCTAGTATTACATTTTAACTTCATTTTCCTGAATAATCCTTTTCGCATCCTTTGAATACTTTATGTTCAAAAATAGATTACAGCTGCATTATATTTTAAACAAGCCACCTTCAGTCATGATTCGCGTGTAAGAAAGATTCAATCAAAACGGTCTCTACGTTCATCGAAAATTAGACAAATCTGTCAGTGCTGCTTGTTGCTTTTCAGTGTCATTTTAATTAAAACAAAAAAATAATAGCTGAGGGAAAAATATTAAAAAAGAAGAACTCACTTTTGCTAAGTTCCCGTAGATTTAATTTAAAGTATAGACATATATTTTACTTACTCTTTTATTACTTACTTTACTATTTGTTATTTACTTTTATTTCTACAAGTCATCACCTTTTATCAATCTTTGTAAAACTTATATTTTTTATTCATTTTCGTAAACTTTAAATCATCGTAAATAAATATTCTAAATAAAAAATTTTAACTTCGAAGGTCTATATTTTTTCGGCTTTATTTGAACTAACTAAACCTTTATAAGTTCAGGCAAGTATTCATCATAGCAAGCAGTACATCGTCGTAAGCATAAGAACTTTACATACACTGAGAATTCGTTCCCAGAAATCTGTTGAAACATAAGTGCTGGAGAAGTAAACCTCAGCGATTAAAAAATCTAACTTATTGAATTTAGCAGTCGAAAGCCTCACGGTAAAGCACTGGTGCCTCCGCTGTGCTATCAACTATCACATAACTAAATTATTTTTTAGTGTTTTAGCTTTTACGTACCGGAGTTGCTGCAAAATAAAATAGAGATCTTAAGAATTACTTACAAATTTTGATCTGTCAAAATTCATGCGATGAAACTCGAGTTCTAGATTTTAAGAAAAATATTTCCTTCTTCAGTTTTTTCCTTAGTTCCATATTTGTTGAAAAAGATCTAGAAATGCAAGAAATCTAATTTAATAGAAATGCATATTGAAATTCCAACAAGAGATAAATAAAATCAAACTAAATATATAGAAAGGAATAACCTATATCTCTGCGACTCAAAAATTCTTTCAGAAATACGAGCCACTAATAAGTGAGAAAACATTGCTGATAACTATAACCCTGGCTTCGTTCGAAATATTTATTTATTGAGACTATTATATTTGTCCTACATTTAAATAAGATAATCTTTTATAAAATTTCTCAGTGCAAACTTTAGAGTAGGTGAAGATCAGATTTATTTTATTTATATACTTGAAACATTTTGTGCTAAAGATTCGTATACATAATATTGCATATTAAAACATTCTATTTAAAAAGAATATTTTCTTCTTAGAAGAAGAGAATATTTTATAATAAAATATAAATAATAATATACATTAATTATTCTCGTACTTATATTACTCGAAAATACGACATCTCATGCGAATTTGTTTTTATATTCACATCATAAACACTTTCGAGCAGGTTTAAAGTATTTCATTCCTATGATTTAGGCAGGACAGTCTGGTGTTCAGCGAATTCTTTTTTATTCCCTACCTATTGGTTATGAGTTCGAATTCTAGAAAAGTCATGTATGTTTAGCATTGAAGTGTTTTCGTGGCATGGGAACACTTAAACTATCATAAGCGAAATCTCCAGAAATTCATGGTACACAAATAGCGGTAGAAAAGCTGCGGATTTTATCTTCTCAACAGGGATAAAGATTAAGCGGATAATTTCTCGTATGTTTCATCTAAATTAAATAACCGAATTCAGTCTTACACTGCAGTATATCATTTCTAAGATAATTTATGGTAGAGCAGTCTTTTCGTTCTTGTGTTATCGTAAAATTGTACTTCAAATGCTCCTTAACATACAAGAAGTGTAACAGGAATAAAAATGTCAAACAATGTGATAGTGAGGGAAATGAATCTAGGAGAAAAATTAAGAAATTTTTTTGTGCTTCGTATACTAGTAGGCCCATAAAGATTTCAATTTGGGCAAGAAACAGAGCAGAAAAACAAAGCATTCTAGCAAAAAGCATAGTCGAAAGCTACTAGCATCATTTGTGACTTTTCTCTCAAGACATTCAGATTTCGAACTTCTGTAAGAAGTTGCAGATTATAGGCACAAGCATTAGAAATTACTAATACATTAACACATTTGTGACTTATTCCAAAAAAAAAATTAAGCTCCTTCTCTGTGATGTTCCTGCGTTTGATGGAACCTTAACTATATTTTTTGTAAGTATACGCAACCTCGTGCGGTATTATTATTTTTTTTTTCTGAACAAATCAGCATTCCCTATATCCCAAACTAAATCCCTATATCAATATTTACTTCGAAGAAGAAAAAAGCAAAACACAAATTGTCTGTAATGGGGTTGTAGAAACGTTGGGTATTTATCGAAGCAGTAAACAAACAAACAAACAAAAAAAGGCAATAACCCCACCGAGATTCGAACCTCTCAGCTGCTAACTCTGAACCTCTCAGCTGCTAACCAGCCATATGCTTCCAATTACATCACGAAGGCAAGCGGTAAATAAGGAAATAGTTGGTTATTAACAAAAACACACAGAAATGCAGTATCAGAGGAAAAAAGAATGATCTCTTGTTGTAAATCGGTAATGCAGCTAATAGAATTGTACATTTGTCAACCGCTAACGAGACATACGTTTGACTTCATTATTTATTATTTATGTTCATTTTCTTTTCATATTTTTTTTTTCAGTTCTTGGGTCCTTTAGCCTTAAATTTAGAAACATTTGTGGATTTTATTAGTTTATTGCTGCGTCGTATCAGCACTTTGTTTTATCGTCCTTGCAACTACAGCTTCTTTGTAATTTATTGCTAATATTTCACACTTTATTATTTGATTTTGATTCTTGCGTTTACATATTTTTATCTGTTGTCTTACTGGCTCTGGATGGATATATATATATACATATAATTAAAAGTATCGTCCTTGCAACTACAGCTTCTTTGTAATTTATTGCTAATATTTCACACTTTATTATTTGATTTTGATTCTTGCGTTTACATATTTTTATCTGTTGTCTTACTGGCTCTGGATGGATACATATATATACATATAATTAAAAGTTAAGTTGTAAGAACAAACGAAGAAAGACCAATTTTGGTCAAATTGTTTTGCTATTGTGCTGCAAAATTAAGGAAATTAGAAGATAAATTTTAGTACGCACGCCAAAAAGTTACCAAAACCTGTGGCTCCGTGAAAGCTTCAACATAAGCATATTTAGTTGCTATGAAAAATGCGAAAGAGGAGAAAAATACAATATCTTGTCAAGGGAAATTTTTAAAATGAATTTCGATCCAAGCTAACTCCATTACGCGTTTCGCCGAAACAGACAATTGAAACTTTGCGCGACAAATTTTTTAATGAATTAAATAAACTATGTCAAAAACCTTAGTCTCAATTCTCTGTATGTATATATATATATATATATGTGTGTGTGTGTGTGTGTGTGTGTATAAGAATAAATTATCTTTTAAAAAAAGAAATATTTTTTAAAACGCTTGTACAAGTGTATGCTAAAAGTCAATAAAATAATATATAAAAATACTTATCGAGTGCAATATAAAGCACGTTCTTATCGTTTATCATTCGTTTTACTAAGTAGTTCGAAAACATATCAGACTGTGGCTGAAGCTTATGAAACATATGAAGCATGTACTTCGTTCGCTTTGAGAAAGAAGTATAATCTTGAAATCTTGATAAAGCACATTTAAATATACGAATGCAAATTGCCGCTTAATACTCCGTTGTTTAAATATTTAACTGAAAACATTAATGAAACTTTATAGATAAATATGGTCATTTTTTATTGTTTTCTCAACTTCCAATGGGTTTATGACAGTGCTAAGTAGCATAAGAAATGCTAACTCATGAAGTAGATTATTAACGAACAATTTAAATTTTCATTCTGTGATATTAAGATTTATTTCTTTCCTTTATCCTTTTCGGTAGTACATGCAAGGTTGAAGCTTTTATAAGATACATTTTATACCCAGGGAAAACAGACTTTTATTTTAGATTTTGACAACGTAATTTGATCATTGACTTTTAATAGGAGATCATTATTCCAAGTTATAATTACGTACGTAAGCAAAGAGAATGAAAATGTATTTTAGAGAATCAACAATGTGATTGTTAAATCTGTATTAATCTACTCTATTTACTGCAGTAAAATAGCTAATTATAGTTCCTTTGATTGTGAAAGACATCCTATTATTGCTATTGTTTTATTAATGTGTTTGCAAATTAAATTATTAGCATAATTTCTCGAAAACGAGATATTTCATCGCTATTAAGATATATGATCCTTAATGTACACCAATTTTTGACATGCAAACAATCGTATCCAAATGGATGCACGAATAAAAGATAAATACAATCTATCTGCTGGAATGAGGTAGTATGTTTCTTATTTAGGATAACAAACACCCTGATCTTTGAACCTCGCAAATGTCAAAAGCGTTTCGAAGTCTGAGAATCGAATTATCGCATCTTTTGCAAAACTCGAATCTTTCGAATTGTAATCTGAAAAACTGCTGTACATGTATTCACAAAATTTCGGAAAGTTTTGTTTTATTGACGTGCGACAGAAATAGTCATTAAAAAAAGAACGCGTCTGTTAAACGTTCTGAGGAATTCTAATTGTTTTATGTTCTAGAGCGTAAAGTTATCAAATTTATTGTAATTAATTCCAAGCATTCCCTTGGAGAAATAAAAAAGTCTCTGATAAAAGTAATAAAAAACATCACCAAGCCCAGAAAAAAAAAAAAAGAAAAATTTGTTATCTTTCAGAGTAAGATAAGAGGTAATACGTGTAGTTAACAATCGAAATATCTTAAATTCAAATTTTGACAAAAGCATATATTTTTCATGTTTTCTTTTTCGAAAGCCAAATACACTTTATGCATTTTATTATAGAACTTACAAAAAATAAGTAAATATATAGACTAGGTTTATATATAGAATAGGTTTATATATAGGAATATATATAGAATACACAAAAAGTTTTAAAAGATGAACTGATAAATAAGTAAATAAACAGATAAAAAGAATTGGAAAAGGAAATTGAATGACCTTCCATTTTTTTTCAAACTATTTGAAATCTAAATGCATATCTAAACATTATGCGTGTTTAATTATTTATTTTAATTACACAAATCATATTATTATGCTATTTCTTAATAGAAACGGTTCTGGCAAAAAAATTAAAATGCACCTTAATAACCATTTTATTTTGTAATTAAATCTCATTTTTTTATCTTACAGCATATATAAAAGCAATATTAAAAGTTGTATCTTTAGAAAGTATTAAGTTTCTTTGATAATGCTTCTATTTTAGCACTGAAAAAACACTGTGGTTTTTCTCATTGAAAATCAACAATAAAATATATAGCTTTCTGTCGCTAATATGCTGCCTCTTTTTAGTACTCTGCGGTTGTTTGTGATTGCAAAATATTACGGATATTTTATACAATATCCGTTATGATTATTTGTGGCATAATACTGAAACTCTGTCAAGCAAGTTGTAGAATAGCGCGGCAAATTCATTCGGAAAACTGAGCACTTAAATTTCAGATGCGTTTAAAACAATCCCTTGTTATACAATCATTTGACATTACTTAAATCTGTAAACAGACTTGTTAAAAGTCATCAAATTTGATTAGCATGTATAATGTATTAAGTAAATCCTTGGATTCTCATCTTTCAGAAGATATTGCCAAAGTATCATGATAATTCCTTTTATTTGTTCAAAATATTAGCCTGAATCCTTTCTTCTACAAAAATAGTGACATAATTGAGATATAACTAATGCGAATTAATGAGTTTGCAAATTAAAGTCTAGACTGTGTATTCTGCGATTATGCTGTTTTGTAAAAAAATACAATTCTCAAAGGGTACTGAAATGTAATCAAGACGAAAAGTATAAAATCCTGTCACAGCTTCTGCATCCATATCCACGGCATTTAAATGTTGGGATACTGACTCAGTTTCATTATCTAAAATGTTAAAAGTATTGGCCTCTGTCAAACAGTATCAGTCTCAGATCTTTAAACAAGCAATTCGAAGAAATAAATTCAAGGAGCATACAAAGCCACATCTACGAAAAGCAGAACGGAACAAGTAAGTGCGCGCTCACCTGAGTGTATCCGTTTGAACAACGCAGCAACGCTTCATGGAATGATGGAAAAGGTGTGGGTGAGGCAAGAACCTGCGAGATATATTGCGAAACAGAAAGAAACGACTCAGCGGGACACGATATCATGTAAAGAACTTTTCTCGCATTGAACGCTTCCGCTCGGAAACACGCCTCGTTTGCACGTCAGAGCTGCCATTAGACTTTATTTCGCCGAAACTTTATTCATCCGAAAAGTTACTAATGAACTTCTGCTTAAACGAAAATAGTTGCCGGCCTATAACGTAACGTAAATGGCTGCCGGCCTATATAAAATTTTGCTCGCACTGATCGCTTAATTAGTAAAGTTACGCATAGTTTAAATTCAGCTTAAAACAAAGCATAGATGTATCGAATCGTAATGGCAACACTTCTGAGAAATGATAATTGGCCAGGCTGCTTGGATTTTTAAATACCCTAGTGACGTAACATGATATAATGTAACGTAATAGTGATAAAAATGGAAATGCTAAGGTATAGATGCTTCTGACGTCCACGCCTATTTTAGAATAATATATACGCAACTGACATTGGTGATAATTTATGAATACAAGAGAATTAAATTTTTTGTATGTACGTACATCTGAAAACATTTCGCATGAATTTTCAATTTGTAAAGAATGTTTGGAAAAAACTCTGCAACAAAAGAAAATGCATTGAAAGAGAGCATAAGTATTTGAAACAGAAGAAATTAGGCAGCACTGGTTGAAGATCATTCAGTTGAAAACCTGGGTGCCGTTTCCCGGAGATTGCCTTGAAATTCCTCGAAACACGTCGAACTTTTTTGATTCAGTCAATGACAGTTTAAGATGAAATTTTACTTAAGAAGCAAAAGGAAATTATTTTTAAGAACAGAAATATAACAAAGCTAAAATAGTTAAAATAAATCGAAATATATTTCGAAACGCAGATTTCGTAAGTAGTGTTGAATTTTGCCAATAAATCGAATTTTCGAATACTCGAAATTGTTTATAGTCCCTTCAGTTTATTACTAACCGAAATGCAATTATATTCCAATTATAAGGAATATAATTAAATAACCCTTATCAATTCCACAACTATTTCTTTCACTACCTTTTTATGAAGGGATAATTTAGTTACTAATTATCTAGCAACTAATAATCTATCTCTTAATATATAAGAAAAAAATTAAATCGCACTTGATGATACAATTGCTACTCAGCAATTCGGCGCGGGCGGGGAGACTGTTATATCTTAATCATACGTTTCTCCTTTTTCGAACTGCACTGATATGCACAATTCTGGAAAGAGTCAAGTAAAGTAAAAAACAAGAAATGGAAAATGCACAACAACTTGGAATTTGAAACTTATAAATAAAATTTAAGCTAAAACCTTAAAGAAATTAGCTTTACAAAATCTGTCTTTCCATTGTCTTTGAGGCAGAACGTAAATTTTCGTCGATATTTGAAAAAACTCTTGAATTTTAAAATTCTAAATAATCATATTACTTTCGTAAGTATTAATCTAAAAGTCAGATTATTTTTACTGCATGAAATTATCTAAAACATCAATTACCAAATAATTTTCTCTGTGTTCGACATAATCTTAAAATATTTCAAGAAAAGAGAAAATTTTTTATTAAAGTTTCCAATAAAATTAATGTTTTTTAAAAGAAGTACTTCAAAGTGCATTTATTTCTAGAAAGCCATTTCGAAATATTGGTAGTTGTTTAATTCTTTTACATATTTCAGTTTAAGTTTCTAAATCCTTCTAAAAAAACCTATTTATTTTGGAAATGATTAGCAAATCAAATATTTTATGTCAACAAAATCCGCTATTCATTTTATCAAATTATTGAAAAGAGCTATTTAAGTTCATAGAAAGATATATTGGCAAACTAAAAAGTAATTTGCGTGAGAAAATATGAGTGATTTTAGTCTAAGGCAAATAGTGCCTGAATGAAAAACGAATATTCTGTAGTTTTCATACTTTTTTATTCAAATGGATATAAAAATAGCGTAGCTAAAAATTATTGCTTTTTGCAGTTTGAATACCAATTATTCTTAAACGTGCCACACCTTTTTCACGCGACTTTATGTTTTTACTTTCATGCTAAGATTCAGAACTGTGGTGGTAGGGAAGAAAAAGAAAATCTCTATTTAGAAAGAAAAGTATATTCCCTTTTTTACTAACCGAAGATATGAAACGGAAAAAATATATAATATCAAGCAAAAAACTTTACAAAATTTCCAGAAAGCAAGCTCGAATGGTGCCCCCAAGTAATTTAAAAGAATCAGGCACTGAGTAATATGATTATTATTTATTGTTTGGCCTATATTTACAGCAAGTTTTACAGTTTGACAGTAATTAGCAGACTATAATTTAAGGAATAATATTAAAACGTGCTGGAAGACGTTTTTGCCACATATTACATACAGAGTTAAGTTTTACAGAGTTAAGTGTTATACAGAGTTAAGTGAGGTTTCAGATATGTGCAATTTAAAATCAGTTTAGAATTTATTTCCTTTCAGTTTACTTTAACCCTGAAAACGTTATTACGTACATTTAAATTATGCCTAAACTTCCAGAGCATACATTTCATTTTAGAATTTTTTTAAAATTTAATGTAACATGAATGTAATTGAATGTAATGGATAAACATTATATATATATTTTTTCAATTGCATAATCATGACTTAAGACTGAACACGAACATATAAAATTTTCGATATGTAAAGATATAAGGTATTTCTCCCGCCTTCTTCGCATGCCTTCGTAGTGTAGTGATCAGCACGTTCGACGCGCATTCGAGAGGTCCGGGGTTCAAGTCCCGGCGAAGGCTCTGTTCATTTTTCACTTCTTCCTGCTTCGAGTAACCTAATGACTCTACAAAGTGACTTGGAAAAATATCAGTTGTATTAAGAATCAAAAGTAGAGTTAAAATCTGCATATGCACACATACACTACAAGATTTATTTTGCAAAATTAAATATAAGATAAACGAGAATTTAGCGTAAAATAGATTTCAGCGGAAAAAATATTGCATAATAAATTACATGCATACATAAAATATCACATCCAAATAAAAAATATCGTCTCGTAAAAAGTTTTTATTTTGAGTTTAAATATAATCGCATAATATTAATTATTAAAACTGCATATCTCTATACAAAACAAAACAAGTATATTTTATTAATACAACATTCATCCGATGCATTCACCCGCGAAGAAAGCTCTAAAAAAGTCTCAGCTAGTTTATTATTCCAGAAAAATAGAAAAGAATTCTTAGAGGAAAAAATACTCATTTTCGATTCAACGGCTGTTGCATAAATTTATCCACAACGCTAGAACGCCTTCTCCTTTGTACAGTGGATTTCTTTTCATTGTGGATTGTTTTCTATTTTCAATGGCAAAGCAGAGGGAGGAAAAAAGTTTCTGATGAAAATGTTATATTCTTATGCAAACTAAAAATATCTCCCCTCTTTCTTTCATTTTAATTTTTTAGTAAACTCACGCTGATGAGCTTTACAGTTTAATAAATATTCATCACAAAGATGATAGTACAGTCATATGTCACATACGATCAGCTGCTAATAACTGTCCCTAAAATTGTAAATACATTTGCAATTTTATAAAAAGCTAAGAAATGTCTTCCACACTTGAAAAAAAGAAAAGGTTCGAAATCGATAAATAAAAGGTTTAGTGCTTAATAAATGAAAGGTCTTCTTTCAAAGAATTTTTAAATTGTAAATGTTCCTAATTAATAATCAGCCTTTAATACATTATAGCGTTGTCTTCAGTGAAAGCAAATTAATTTAAGCATTGTTCAGTTATTTCAAAATATTATAAAATTTTAATAAGCGATTTATTGTGGCTAATCTGAAAATGGGGCCAATTTTCATTTTTTTGATAGTTAAGTCTTTTATTTTTTTCACTTTATTTTTCATTTATATTTTTTAATAACTAAAATACAAAGAAGTGAAATAAAGTTATACTCTTCTTTGACAAATTGAGAATATGTATGTTTAAACTCTGGTCTTTCTAACTAAATTCAAAAGCACCCTAATTTAATTTAAAGCAATCAGATATCTAAAGTTATTTTGTCTGAGAGCCATAAATATGTATTCCTCCATGTTTTATGTGTTTCTCTTTACCTTATTGTTCCTAGTCATGTAGTGTTGCTATGTGAATTGGAATATATGGTTAAAGTCCGACATGCAGATAGCGAGTTTTCGCTGGGTCTTAAATACTCACAAAATACCGAAGAAAGTTTAAAATAACCTTTTTTAAGTTTTAAATTGAACATAGAGGCATAACTTGTGCTTACAGACAAAACCGACACTTTTGGCTACTTTAATTTAACCATAGCAGCCAATAACATTCAAATACTGATAATGCAGTCTATGACTACACATACAATAGAATAAGTTGGCTGAAGAGATATTTCATGGGCATGCAATTTATGTCATCGGCTAGAGAGACTTCTAAAGCCGAAATATTAATTCAAAGCACAGCTGACGAAGAATACTAACAGCTAACGCGACTGCCAGGTCTCTCAGTAAAATTCAAAACCCTCAGCATAAATACTCTCGTTTGCATTCTGGTGAAGAATACGGAAAGCAGAAGTTACAGTAAAGACCAAAATCCTAATAACTGGTTAATTAACATACGATATCTTACAGCCATATCAAACTCTTTGTTTCTATTGATCATTTAGCAAATTACAGCAATTGAATTATTATTTCTTTAATTCAATAAGCTGAAAGAGTTGCTAAATAAATGTTAAATCATGGTTTTACATTTTTGTACTTAGTTTCCTGTTTAAGCGTCAAGTTAGATTTTATTTATATATTTTATTTAATGACTAATTTAACTCTTTGAGTTTCGTTAAGTGTCTAACGCAACAATTCACAGAACAAATATACTAGTTAACATGTATACCTAGACAATGTAGGATCTGTTTTTGCTTACAATAAATCCAGGTTTCTGAGGTAAAGGATATTCTTCTCTATCTTTGATTCTGTGTTAAACATGTAGTGTTTCTAAGTAGAGTGTAGTTTTAATATTAAATTATGTAAGTAATTATTAAAAATAACACTGAAATA